GAATCACAGTACTTCCTGCCCAGAGCCTCTTTGAGTGTCTTGGACGGAGAAAAACCAGGACAGTCGAAGAACTTGAGGCTTGGAAATCTCTGAAAACTTGGATTTTGTGAGATTTTGCGTCTTGAAGATTGGGGGGGAAGTGGTTGGGGAGGGAGGCAGCATGTTGCCTGTGACGCGCAGCCAGAGTGTCAAGGCTCAGCCAGGGCCCGTCTCCAGGGAGGGTAAACGGAACTCCTCCAGCAGCTTCAGTAGTGAGGTATGGTCGTCGCTGGCGCTCTTGACCTCCTTGCCCAGGGCACACTTCTCCCGCAGGAAGCCCCATCACCTCCAACACCAGCGCCACCACCACCAGCAACACCTCCAACAGCAGCAGCAGCAACAGCAGCAGCCACCGTCCCGTTCCTGCGCACCCCGGCACCACTGGGTGTCCTTCAGCATGGTAAGCTTTCCAAATAACGGCGCAGGCGACTCAGCAGCGCCGCCGCCGCCGCAGCCGCAGCCGCAGGTCTTATAATATATATACCAAGAGGTTCCGCGCCTCGGCCCCTTAGACCCCGCGTGTCACATGTCGTTATATTTCGCCCTGTCACTCTTCTCGCTCGGGGCAAAAGCTTCGGTTGTGTAACAGGTTCGAAGCCCTGGTTACTGATCCCATCACAGCTCGCTATAGTTATATCAGGCTGTGAATACTCCAGTAGTTGAATTAGAAGTTGACTTATATAGAAGGGGAATGTGGATGTAGAGGGGATGAGCAAATGAAAGTAGTTTTTGGCGAGGCAGTGGGTGAAGCTGATATACTTTCTCCTCTCACCTGCGCCTCGCCCTCATACACCCTTCTCATAATACATAGCGAGACATGTTTCCTACCTAGATGATACATATTGAGAGTATGGAGGTAATGACCCAATTTCTATATGAGATGGAATCAGCCTCGCAAACCCCTACAGTTGGGGTTACTCCTCTGCTAGTGCCTAGGGAAGACACTAGGAGGTTAGTAACTTATATAATCCACCACCATGTTGACCAGTTGGAAGTTACCAGCCCCGCTCCTGGGCAAGCTAAGTCCGCCACGGGCTCACCATAGCCCGTGCTACTTGGAACTTTTTTGTTCCCAGTAGCTGAATGTTGAATAACAATTGACCAATCAGTCTTTCACCCGCTTACACGACGTGAGTGGCAGAATCTGTCGCTCATCTCTCCAAAAATAACTCCCACTCTAGGTAAGAATTTGCCTGGGATCTGGGGCCCGGACCTGACAATGGTCAGATTCACGAAGCAGTTTTTCGCAAGCACTTATGAACGTGTACATCTTTCCTCAATCTTTGACGGCTTTGGTTACATTTATTAAACAGTTTACAAGCATGAAAACTTCCCATTCATCTGTTGTTATTGTTATAAACAGCCTCCTGGTGCTTCGGAGCTCATTAACTCTTTAATAATTGTAAACAAAGCCGTCAAAGATTGAGGAAAGATGTCCACGTTCGTAAGTACTTGCGTAAAACTGCTTCGTGAATCTGGCTCCAGGCTCCGGAAAGCAGAGGTCGTATGGCTGTCGTATACACAACCATACAAGTTGTATGGCTGTCGTATACACAACCATACAAGTTGTATGGCTGTCGTATAGAATGGAACTTAAATAAATCTGGAGCAAAAGAACTTGGAAGTTGCGAAAGTTTTTAAGGAATGTAAGTTTAGAGCAGGCTGAGTGAAGCAAAGGTGACAGGACTTGAGAATGGAGAAATTGGAAGAACAGAAGTGAGAGAAAACGAGAGAAGGTAGGAAGGAGTATTCCTCATAATGGATAAAGATATAAAGAGGAGGATCAAGTGGGTAAGGGTACTCGAAACTTATAAGGATCTAAGAAAATAATATAATACGCTTGAGAAGTCGAGTGAGAGAGAATGGGAAAGACGAGGTCAACAGAAAACGGGAGTGTGTTGAGAGTATAAATGACAGGTCAAAATAAACCAAAAGAAAACGATCAAATAAATAGGAGAAAGATTAGAGAAAATTGCTCAAAGAAAAGGAAGGAAGAAGCTGTTTCGAAGGAAGTTCTGAAGTGTAATTAGGGAGGCTAATGGGTGGTTAAATGGGCATGATAATATTACTAACATGGGGGACAATTTTAAATAATGAAATATGGGTAGAAGTAGTGATTAATAATAATAATAATAATAACAGTAATAATAATTTATTGATTTATCTATCTATAAAAATAGACTACCTGTTTGCCTGCCTATGCAAGATTGAAAGCCAACTTTTGTAGATGACACATAAGTGGTATGGGAATGTCGTAGGTCGGCTGGGGTCAGCCCTAATGCCCCCCTTTAAGAAGGGTCAGCCCCTGTTGAGAATCCCAGCAACTCGTACGAAGTGTGAAATGACACAGATTACAACATACACACGACATTACCACAACGTTCTCTGTCTCGCCACAAAGTTACAACAAATAACAGTTGTATGAATAGTTTGAGGTTATGAGAGAGAGAGAGAGAGACAGAGAGAGAGAGAAAGAGAGAGAGAGACAGAGAGAGAGAGAAAGAGAGAGAGAGAGAGAGAGAGAGAGAGAGAGAGAGAGAGAGAGAGAGAGAGAGAGAGAGAGACAGAGACAGAGACAGAGACAGAGACAGAGAGAGAGAGAGAGAGAGAGAGAGAGAGAGAGAGAGAGAGAGAGAGAGAGAGAGAGAGAGAGAGAGACAGAGACAGAGACAGAGAGAGAGAGAGAGAGAGAGAGAGAGAGAGAGAGAGAGAGAGAGAGAGAGAGAGAGAGAGAGAGAGAGAGAGAGAGAGAGAGGGGAATTAAGAGAGTAGACCCGAACTAGGGCGATATGCCAGTCCTGGAAAAGACCAGTGAGTCTACTATTCAAATATAAAGGTTCATATTAGTTCACTTAAGTTTAGTGGGCAATAGCCTACGGCAGGAGAGTGATTAATTAGAATTAATTAGATTAATTACATTAATTACTAGCATATTGATCAGTGATGAACAATGTGGGTTTCGGCTGGAAGATGAGGCCCTCAAGATTGATCAAAACACTTGAAGTATCATCTTACGAAACCTGTACATCTTTTCCTCGCAGCGTTTACGAGCTCGTAAAGTATTTAATAAATACAGACTGCGCCGCCATGATTGATGACAGATGAACAGGTTTCGTAAGGGGTCACGTGGGGGCTTGGTGAACCCTCCCCCCCTCCTCCTGATATCTGCAGTGAGATATATTGTTAAGATAGCGCAACAGAAGGACAATATATATATATATATATATATATATATATATATATATATATATATATATATATATATATATGTCGTACCTAGTAGCCAGAACGCAATTCTCAGCCTACTATGCAAGGCACGATTTGCCTAATAAGCAAAGTTTTCCTGAATTAATATATTTTCTCTAATTTTTTTCTTATAAAATGATAAAGCTACCCATTTCATTATGTATGAGGTTAATTTTTTTTTATTGGAGTTAAAATTAACGTAGATATATGACCAAACCTAACCAACCCTACCTAACCTAACCTAACCTATCTTTGTAGGTTAGGTTAGGTTAGGTAGCCGAGAAAGTTAGGTTAGGTTAGGTTAGGTAGGTTAGGTCGTCGAAAAAACATTAATTCATGAAAACTTGGCTTATTAGGCAAATCGGGCCTTGCATAGTAGGCCGAGAAGTGCGTTCTGGCTACTAGGTACGACATATATATATATATATATATATATATATATATATATATAAACAAAGGGATTTGGACGGAGTTACAAAATTACTGTTATACATTATGATGACCATGTATGTATGTATGTATGTATGTATGTATGTATGTATGTATGTATGTATGTATGTATGACAGTGTCAGACCACGGAGGAAAATTGAAACAGGAATTTCCTTTAGTACTTTCGTATATTAATACATCTTCAGAAGGAGTTTTACACACGTATGTATGTATGTATGTATGTATGTATGTATGTATGTATGTATGTATGTATGTATGTATGTATGTATGTAGCAGCACATACGTAAGAGTAAATAGTGTAATCAGTGGTGGTTGTATATATTACTCTTGGTGTATGTTAGGGGTGTGTATGTATGTATGTTAACCAGGGTGAGACATGGTTATACACCTTGGACCAGATTCACGAAGCAGTTACGCAAGCACCTACGAACCTGTCCATCTTTCCTCAATCTTTGGCGGCTTTGTTTACAATTATTAAAACAGTTAATGAGCTCCGAAGTACCAGGAGGCTGTTTATAACAATAACAACAGTTGATTGGCAAGTTTTCATGCTTGTAAACTGTTTAATAAATGTAAATAAAACCGTCAAAGATTGAGGAAAAGATGTACAGGTTCGTAGGTGCTTGCGTAACAGCTTCGTGAATCTGGCTTCTTGTGTAGAGTTTCTAACACGAGATGAGACGATGATACACAATAAATGGCTGAAAACAAGATGCCAAAACCATAAATTGTGGCGTCCACGACTTGTTAATGGTCCCGAACGACCCGAAACAAGCGTCATTTCCTCATAATCCAATCTGTGATTGGGTCTTACAATCTTGATTCTTGAGGTTATCTTGAGATGATTTCGGGGCTTTTTAGTGTCCCCGCGGCCCCGGCAGTGATTGGAGGATACCAGATATCTCTCATGTAAATGAGAAGCGTTCTCTCAGTGAGAGAACTAGGAGACTAGCTGAGGAGTGAGAGAGAGAAGTCTGGTGAAAGTGTGTGTGGAGGAAAGTGAAAATTGCCGTAAATGGGTAAAAGAATGAAATTCTGCGTGAGAAAACTGTGGCTTGGTGAAGTGTTGGCATTTGTCGATCGTTCTAAATACCTAGAAATGTGCCCATTGCTAACGAGGAGTCACAATACCGTGGCTGAAGTATGTTGAGCAAACCACACACTAGAAGGTGAAGGGACGACGACGACGACGTTTCGGTCCGTCCTGGACCATTTTCACAGTCGATTTGAGAATGGTCCAGGACGGATCGAAATGTCGTCGTCCCTTCACCTTCTAGTGTGTGGTCTGGTCAACATGCACAACAGTTGATGTTGAGACTGCTATCTTTTTTTCCCTTCTAATGCTATCTTGTTTTTCGTTGGGATAAACAAGGGGGGGGGGAGGGGGGAGTGGCATTTTAAGAAAAATAATAAGATTTATTTGTCAAATGTTTTCTTTGATATCTTCGAGATATCAAAGAGAACTTTGAGATATCAAAGAGTCAAATGATATCTTTGTTCTCCGTCACAGGCATTACAGTCACGGAGAACAAAGATATCATACTCAGCCAGAGGTCAGAATGAAGGGGGCGCTGACCCCTTACCTTTACGAGACGGTAGGGAGGTAGAGACCCCCTTACATATATATATATACTGGCTGCCTGTCCCCCCGACACAATGAATTATAAGGTTGGATTGAAACGGCTGATAAGGAGAGAGTAAATGTACTTGTTTGTAATAGTGATGTCAATGTCACACGAATATTACTGTACACAACACCTTGCGAAACCTGTACATCTTTCCGTAGTCACGGCGGCTCAGTTGATATTTATTTAGACATTTTTCGGGCTTGGAAACTTCACAACCCGAGGTTGTTATTGTTATAAATAACCTCTTGTGTGCTTTGGGGTTCTTGAACCGCCATGGTGGAGGGAAGATGATGTACAGGTTTCGTAATTGGTTGATGAATGCAAGGGTGTTATTGTTATTATTTATCGCCTTGACCTGTGGCTTACTGCTACCGTATTGAGCAAGGGGGTGGATGCCCCCTAACCCCCCCCCCTGCATGGGGGTTGATCCCCCCCCTCTCCCCCCCCACAAGGGGTTGATGCCCCCCCCCCCTCCCCCAGCAAGGGGGGTTAATAGAACTAATTCAACTATTCCCAAACCACCATTTGCTGTATGTTATTTTAACCTTTGCTTCTCAGAAGGAAATGTCCATGTAGCACGGGCTATGGCGAGCCCGTAAAAAAGGCCCTGTGTTATTAACGGTTATTTGTACAGCTTGTGGTTTGGGTTGGGTCGGGTGGCAGCGCCTGGGTCCCGGCATCTTGGGCACCTACGACCTTCGATAGCCTTTTGTTGCGGATTTGTAAAAGTTGTCATAGGTTGGAATTTGACCTTTCGCAATGACAGGGTTTTGTCTCCTGACATTTTATAATTTGTTTTTGTTTGACGCATTGTTTAAATAAGGTTTCCTTGTTGTTTTTGTCTTGTTTGTTTAAAACGACATTAAAAAATAACCTCGTAGTTTATATACATATATATATATATATATATATATATATATATATATATATATATATATATATATATATATATATATATATATATATATATATATATATATATATATTAGTGTATAGAAAGGTGAAGTGTATAGAAAGCATAGGGTCAAGTTACATAGTCACAGCCCCGCTCCTGTGCCAGGTAAGTCCACTACGGGCTCACCATAGCCCGTGCTACTTGCCCCGCTCCTGTGCCAGGTAAGTCCACTACGGGCTCACCATAGCCCGTGCTACTTGCCACCGCTCCTGTGCCAGGTAAGTCCACTACGGGCTCACCATAGCCCGTGCTACTTGCAACTTTTGGTTCCGAGGAGATGAATCTAAAAAAAAAAGACAGGTTAAGTATGGCGTCACATGGGGCCAACAGGTCATCTGTAGTGACTTTATAATTTTGTGTGTTCCTATGATGGGTGAAGCAGTGTGTGGGGTCATCCTTCAAGACCAAGGAAGATGCCTTGGTCTTGAGTTAGAGTGGACCCGAGTATGAGGTAGATGATAATGGTTGGTTGATATTGTTTGATGTGTAGTGGATGTCTGTGGATGATATCCATGTTGTTGCTCATGATATCTCTGGCGATGATATCCATGTTGTTGCTCATGATATCTCTGGCGATGATATCCATGTTGTTGCTCATGATATCTCTGGCGATGATATCCATGTTGTTGCTCATGATATCTCTGGCGATGATATCCATGTTGTTGCTCATGATATCTCTGGCGATGATATCCATGTTGTTGCTCATGATATCTCTGGCGATGATATCCATGTTGTTGCTCATGATATCTCTGGCGATGATATAATTATGCATTGAAATGATATGTTCCTTGATGGGACCTTATTGTGTGTGCATTGTCAGGTGTCTTGGAATATTGTTGTCTTGCCTATATATTGAGATTTATTGGGCTGACAGTCCCCCAAGTGGATATATAAAGACATAGATGACATTTGTCTCTTTCATGGCAGTGTGTTTGGTATTGAGAGAGTTATTCTTGGGCAAGTTGGTGGTCTTCTTCCTCTTGTAGTAAATTGGCATCTCTTATCTTGTGGGTGGTGTTGGTCGGGTCCCGGTTCTATCAGTAATGTCTTTTGAAAAAAAATTTCCTTTTGAAAAAAAAAAGAAAAAATCCTCCATTTTGTGGGCCGTGGAAAAAAAGTTCTTGTGAAATAAGATAATATGTGAAACAGTATAGTGTCGGGCATTTCCTCAGAGATAGCATAACAGATCACCTTCTTCATAATGATATCTTTTATACGTGGTTAGATATCCATTATTGACTAGTGCCTTCATTACTCTAGAGCTGTGTGTGAGGGCACGATTGACCTAGACCTCGACAACACTCCGCTGTCCGAACACTCACTACTTATATGAATCAAGACACATTCCTATATTGGTTTCCTTAGCGTAGACTGCTATATGCAAGCTACCACTCCTATACCCCAGACTGTTACGTCTTGGAAAGACAGCTTGCTTTCTCTCTTCGAACGGAACATTGTTCGAATGCATCCTTTAGCTCTTGCAAGCACTCTGATGTCTGGTGCCTGCAGGAATATCTCTCCGACTTACCGACAGTAGACATCAGGTTTTAGGCCCATGTCAAGAACATTAATTGATGTTTTAAAGTGATGTTCATGTGAGATATTAATAAGATCTTTGTTGTTTTAAAGTGATGTTCGTGTGATATATTGACAGTGGGGAGTTTACTGATATTTTAAAGTTATTTGTTGTTTAAATAAATATTATATACATATTGTGTTGTGCTTTGTTCACCTCGTTAACTGCATGTTTAATTAAAATGACTTTTGTTGTAATTTCATAATAAAATTCTTGTGTCGTTTGAGTTGCCTGTTGTGTGTGGCATTGTGTCAAATGATTGTGGTTTTACCTTTACGTATTTTACAAGTCACGAGGATAAATTGTGTTGTTAGCTTTAAAATTCACAATTTAAATTTATTAGACAAATGGCTATTCAATGTCTATTTTTTGCCTTATACAGAATGTTGTGTTCACTATCCTTAAATTTTCATGCATTCTGAAGCTTGCTGTTAGGCTTATGACTGATTTAAATAATTTATTTTTATAATTTTTTTAAATTTTTAAACTGTCAAGTTCATGATTATTTGTTGTTATTTGTAAACTTCTGGGGATATTTACGAGTGGAATTTTTTGTTGTTTCTTTGCAATTTTTATTTTTTGTTTTAAAAATCAAATAAAATTTGATTTTAAAATTTAGAAATTAAAATTTAAAATTTAAAAATTTAAATTTAAAATTTAAAAATTTAAATTTAAAATTTAAAAATTACAATTTAAAAAATAAATTTTAAAATTTACAATTTAAAAATTAAAATTTAAAATTTAAAAAATAAAATTTAAAAAATAAAATTTAAAATTTAAAATTTAAAAATTAAAATTTAAAAATTAAAATTTAAAATGGTTTAACAACTTTAAATTAAAAAAAAAAACAATAATTTTTTTCATCATGTGGTGTTTCTCTTGCTTACAGAGCTCCCGCGAGGTCCACCTCAGAGCATTGAGTGAACTACAGTCGGCCGCCTCGCGCCTCCCCCATCCAGGTGAGTTACCCCTCGCGGCTGTCAGATTCTTCGTTTTTTATGTAATAAGATTGAGGGGGTACTCGGCTGTATCCAGGTCCACCCCACAAAGTTGTTGCATTTAAGTGTTGGGATCCTCAGAATTTTTCACCGCTCCTGTGCCAGGTAAGTCCACTACGGGCTCACCATAGCCCGTGCTACTTTGGAACTTTTGTTCTAAGTTAACATGCATATTTTAACATGCATAACTAAATAAACATGCATATTTTAACATGCATAACTAAATAAACATGCATATTTTAATGCCAGTATCTAAATTCTGAGATATTATGACGAGGCTATGAATGTCTATGGGCTTAGTGGATACCATTTCATCTGTGGATGTATTTATTATTTGTATGTACTATTTGTGTCTGCAGAATCGAGCTATTAGCTCTTGGACCCCGCCTCTCTAACGAATCTATTTTCCTCAATTATATCTACTACATATATTTCTCTTATACACACGCCCCCGGGAAGCAGCTCGTAGCAGCTGTCTAACTCCCAGGTACCTAGTTACTGCTAGGTGAACAAGGGCATCAGGGTGAAAGTAACTCTGCCCATTTGTTTCCGCATCCGCCGGGAAGCGAACCCAAGCCCTTTTAGGATTATGATCCCCCAAACGCTCTCCACTCAGCCGCGAGTGAACTATGGATGTGCTGGTGTACACAGGGTACATGTGCACGTACGGCTGCGTGTGCGTGTGTGGATGTGCTGGTGTACACAGAGGTGCACATGAGGGCGACGCCATGTTGGGTGTGAGTACATACGACATGTTGGGTACAAACATAGATATATGGCCCAAACATCTCGTGGAACCCGAGACCAGGGAAAAGGAGGTCGCTGCTCGCCACTCCCTTTCCCCTCCGCCCCCACCCTTTGCCCCCTGCGTGTGCGCGCGAGTGTGTGTGTGTCCGGGAATGATATCCAGCCCCATACTAGCATAATATACGCTCGAAAACGCACTTAAAATTTCCGCCTGAGCGCTGGCGTCGCTCTGGCGCGAGCAGAATGGAGAAGTATACAGTGAATATTAAGATAGAAAACGGATGTAGTCCTTGTAGCTCTAACTGCTTGAAACTGCTGATAATTACCGCTGTTTGTGTATTTAGTCCTTATTAGAAATAATTATACGTTAAAATATATATGTGAAAATTGTTTAGTCGGATTATTCACATGGTGTAAGTATCAATCTAATACAGACGGGCTTTGTATTCAGTGGGTCACATTGACGCGTGACTGAAAGCGCGGGAAAATCCATTTCGAATCCTAAGGGCGCCGGCCCGACTCCCCCACACACTCACTAGTGTATTTTTGCACTTGTTGATATATTTAATAGCGTTAATTGATGGCTTGCGTGTTATTTTATCCTGGCGGAAGAGTGGGGAGGTGTTTTGAGGGGATATGAGAGAGGGGGAAGTGAGCGCGGGAATCAATACTCCGCGGCCTTGGTCATGACCTCATCCTTGGCCGTGATGGTGGCCCGGGCGAGGCCATTATGGTCGTCCAAGGTCCACATGGGAGGGGGGACACGTGGGTGGATTATGAGGCACGTGGGAGGGGGACACATGGGTGGGTTATGAGGGGAAGTATAGGAGGAAGGGGCGTGGAATATGAGCAGTGTGGATAATGAGTCATTGTGGACGCTATTGTCGTAGTAGTTACTGGATGTGTTGCGCGCGCATAGGAGATTAATGGGACGGTCCACAGTCCATGGGACAGTCCATGGGGACAGTCTAATGACAGTCCATGGGGACAGTCCAATGACAGTTCATGGGACAGTCCAATGACAGTCCATGGGGGACAGTCCAATGACGACTAGTGATATATATTAATAGGATAACATCAATGCGCTCTACACAAACATGTCGGAACATCATTCAGACACCTAAATAAGAAGGCGCCCGTGAGACACAGTATACCGCCAAATCTTGGAGCCCTCATTAAGAATATTACAAAAACTAAAACTCGAAAAGGTTTAGAAGTTTGCAACGAGGTTCGTCCCAGAATTGCCAGGGATGAGTTATGAAGAACGATTGAAAGAACTAGACCTGACGTCGCTAGAGTAATAAGAGAGAGTATAGACGATAGACTAAAAAATGCCAAGGGAGAGTGATAGAGTGGAAAAAGAGACATTCACAATGAACTCCATTCATAATTTCAAGAGTAGATATGATAGAGGAATAAGGCAGGAGTCATTGCATTAGACAACCAGCTGCTAGACAGGGGGGTCCAAGAACTAAAGCTCGTTCCTCTAATCAGAAATAGGTGGGTACACACACACACACACATTGGGAACACTCGTACCTTGTACGAGTGGTCAACAAATGGAATGCATTTAAAGAAGTTATAGAAGCCTCCATCCACTACTTTAAGGGCAGATGCGACAAAGAATTAGAACGTCGGAATAGTTAAATTATAACTTTTCAAATACAAAAATGTTTTGTGAGGGAACCTAGGGGGGTTATAGACCTCACTCTCCGTAGTCAATGATCCTTCTGAAGATGTATTAATATACGAAAGTACTTAAGGAAGTTCCTGTTTCAATTTTCCTCCGTGGTCTGACACTGTCACAGTTTTCATCACGTGTTTATTTTCATGATTTACACACTCAATGATAGGCTTGTAGTGAGAGGAAAGTCCCCCCAACACCCCTCTCCACCTACTCAGAATGTTTGGTAATATGTTTATTGTTTGTGATGTGTGTCTATGTACGTATTAACACGATGTACTGAACGGAGTGAGAATAGCTTGAGCTACCTCATCCCTTTGTGTGTATTTTACATCAATAAACTTATTTCAATTTCAATTTCTCCACCTTGGCCTACAACTGAGCTACCGTCCTCACCTCAATGCCCTACTCTCACCAACCTTGGCCATGACCTGATCTTGGCGCGGGGCCAAATGACCAGGGAGGGAATACGGAACCCATTAACAAGTGAAAACCACAGCAAAGTAACAGGAAACAGGATAGAGATCACATACAGATAAAGCGAAGAGAGAGAAACAAACAGAGATCAAAGAACGAGCCACTCAACTAGCCTAGTCAGTTTTGCAACCCTAAATAGATTTCCTGATTTTTTTTGGCGGGAGCGGGTTTGTCATGGCGCGATGCTGCCAGAGGTTGACGGTGTTAGGCTGTCTGTAGCCTCCTTCCTTATGTAGGTCTCGGGCGAATGGTCCCCCCTCTTGTGTGCCTTAGGAGGTGCCTCCATATATATATACTCCGTGACGTCTTCCTCCATATATATATGTTCATGACATCCTCCGTATTTACACGCCATGATATCTTCCTCCGTATTTACACTCCATTTACCGCATTTCATATCCATAGGCAATGCAAACCTTCATTCACTACATTAATGAAAACGTATCAAGAGAAACAAAGGTTATATTTGAGGAGAAAAACAGGGATATTAAACACAGGTGTAATAAAAAAGGGGCAATAATAACACCTGTAAAAAAAGGGGGCAATGCGGACATGTGTAGTAGAGAAAAAAGGGCAAAAGTGGCAGCTGTAAAAGAAGAGGTTGAAAAACAGCTGTAACAAGGAAGAGCATTAAAAACAGCTGTAACAAAGAAGAGCATTAAAAACAGCTGTAACAAAGAAGAGCATTAAAAACAGCTGTAACAAAGAAGAGCATTAAAAACAGCTGTAACAAAGAAGAGCATTAAAAACAGCTGTAACAAAGAAGAGCATTAAAAACAGCTGTAACAAAGAAGAACATTAAAAACAGCTGTAACAAAGAAGAGCATTAAAAACAGCTGTAACAAAGAAGAGCATTAAAAACAGCTGTAACAAAGAAGAGCATTAAAAACAGCTGTAACAAAGAAGAGCATTAAAAACAGCTGTAACAAAGAAGAGCATTAAAAACAGCTGTAACAAAGAAGAGCATTAAAAACAGCTGTAACAAAGAAGAGCATTAAAAACAGCTGTAACAAAGAAGAGCATTAAAAACAGCTGTAACAAAGAAGAGCATTAAAAACAGCTGTAACAAAGAAGAGCATTAAAAACAGCTGTAACAAAGAAGAGCATTAAAAACAGCTGTAACAAGGAAGAACATTAAAAACAGCTGTAACAAAGAAGAGCATTAAAAACAGCTGTAACAAAGAAGAGCATTAAAAACAGCTGTAACAAAGAAGAGCATTAAAAACAGCTGTAACAAAGAAGAGCATTAAAAACAGCTGTAACAAAGAAGAACATTAAAAACAGCTGTAACAAAGAAGAGCATTAAAAACAGCTGTAACAAAGAAGAGCATTAAAAACAGCTGTAACAAAGAAGAGCATTAAAAACAGCTGTAACAAAGAAGAGCATTAAAAACAGCTGTAACAAAGAAGAGCATTAAAAACAGCTGTAATAAAAGAAAATATAAAAAGCACATAAAAAGCATTAGTATGAAAAGTCGCAATAAGAACAGCTGTAATATAGATAGGAAATAAGGACTGGTGTAGCAGGGAAAGAAGGAATAGCAACACCTGTTCCATAAACAGGAAAACCGGTTCCATAAACAGGAACACCTGTTCCATAAACAGGAACACCTGTTCCATAAACAGGAACACCTGTTCCATAAACAGGAACACCTGTTCCATAAACAGGAACACCTGTTCCATAAACAGGAACACCTGTTCCATAAACAGGAACACCTGTTCCATAAACAGGAAAACCTGTTCCACAAACAGGAACACCTGTTCCATAAACAGGAACACCTGTTCCACAAACAGGAACAGTAAGAGAACAAACAGAAAAAGATAGAAAATCAGACACAAATAACTGAAAAGGGAAAGAAACGCATCTAGCAGAAGAGAAATGTGAAAAAGTGAAGTTACTGAAGTTTAGAAAAGTTAGATAAAATCGATAAGGATTATAAAGATGAAGAGAAGTCCCAGAAAAGAAAAAATAAATAATTCTTTCAGTGGACGAAAATATAGTTCTCAAATATTTTTTTTATTTTTTTTTGTGAGGTTGTGGCAAGGGAGAATT